ATAGCAGTCGCAACCTCACAGTCGAGATGGTCGGGAAGCGTTGGTTCACGGACTTCCTTACAACCCACCAGGTCGAAGACCGTGGTCTGAGCGGACTCGACATCGAGACCAAAATTGGAGGTTGCTCCGCGCTCATTTCCAAGCTAGTGGCTTTCATGAAAGACACTGTATACAAGACCCGTATCCCTTCTGTCACGAAACGTCGAACTGGTCTCCAGCATTTCATGCGCATGGGAGTTCAACTTTGGAGTCTCACTATTGACGAACAGCGCAAGGTGCTCTCCCAGGAGGACGCCACGTGCTACGCCGCCTCGGACAGTGACTATGAATGGAAAGACCCTGAGCAGCCATTCATTGAAGTTGACGACGACAGTGACGAAGAAGAGGAGCAGGACGAGGGCGAGAACGAGACTTAAGCGAGGACGAGGTTGATCTACGAAAATACAAGAGATGGAGCCACTACCACTACATTGCATGTTTGTGTTTGTTTAGAGTTTGAGATCGTTGTGCAGCAAAGAGGACTACAGTACAAAATTTGCTACCCCGTTCGGTTCAAGAGGGAGTGCGAGAGGAGTCAAAACCAGCTGGTGGTTGGCATTCACGAGGTGAACCTCCCGGGATTCGCTAGAACGAGGTAGACGTAGAATCCCCTTTTAATTTTTAGCTTATTCTTTTGTGTCATCCCATGTCTACATCGTACTGCACATCGGCCTCCGTTCGCATCCTTTTCATTATATCATCGGTGACATCAAACCATTGCCAACCACTTCTTCACCGGAACTTCGCCGGGCAGGAGGAGTCAGAGAGACACAACCAGGGGCATATGCATTGGCGAGAGTTAGACCCGTGTTTCGTCACCCAAGGCCAGCTGTTGCAACAACGGACATGGAAGAGGCACGATTAGAATCAACAACCCAGAATGAAACGGAAGATCAAATCCTTATCCATGCGGAACCAATCGAAGAGCCATCTGAACAAGGGAACTTCCAAACAGCTGAACCATTAACAGAAAGGTCGAAACGACATGAGAGGAAGAAACTTTGTCTCTTATTCTCTGTGGAAGCAGTGTATGCCGAACTGTTGTTGCAATTATCCTTGTAGCTTTTCTCGCTTGTGCGGAAACAAATACCCCTCCAAAGTCACCAACGCAGCAACATGGAGCTGTGCCGATTGATGGAATACCAGTTGAAAATACCGCTGCAATCCCTGAAGAACCCGCAGTGCTAATGGATAGGCTCAAGCTCCCCGGTTATACGCTCATGGCTATGGAAAATCCCAGGTCTCCACAGTCCAAGGCATATCAATGGCTGAGCAGATATGACAACAACCACAACATTTCCCATCATCTTCCAGAGTGGAGACTGACACAAAGGTTTGCACTAGCCACATTCTACTATTCCACAAAGGGTGACAATTGGGTGAATAATCATGGCTGGTTAGATTGGGACATCAATGAGTGTCAGTGGGAACAGCTACCGTTTGAGCCTACCTGTGATGACTTTGGGCATCTCACGTCGTTGCACTTTGGGTCTACCAACAACTTGGATGGAACATTACCACCAGAGCTTTCTTTGCTGGCAACAACCTTGCAATCATTCATAGTTGGTCGAAACTATCAACTCAAAGGAATCATTCCTACAGAAGTTGGACTGATGACAAGGCTAACAGTTATGGGATTCAGCGAAACAAGCTTGTCTGGCACAGTTCCCTCGGAAATGGGTCGACTGCAAAGTTTAGAATCCCTTGTCATTGGTCACAGCAAGATTGGCGGGACTGTACCTTCGGAGCTTGGCAACCTCAGCAGCTTGATATGGTTAGTCTTCGAAAGCACAAATTTCTCAGGTATGCACACAGATATCGAAAAATGGCCAAATGCAATTCTTGAGCGTTCTTCTATTGACTCAGATCTTCCACATCACTATAGGGTCCTTCCCCAGTGAAGTGTTTCTATTGTCAAACCTTCGAGCCTTGCAAGTCTTTGAATGCCCTGGACTGAAGACAGAATCTGTCCTCCATGGGGTGGTCAGAAATATGCATAAGATAGAAAGGCTTGGTCTAGGCCGTGGGAAACCTGGCAGGTTCATATCAGTCCCAAGTAAGAGTAAACAATTGCGGTGTTTCGCTGCATTAATGGGTTGTTTCCATGGTTTCTGACACTATTTTGTTCGGCAGCTGAAATTGCCAGGCTGACAAACATGCTTTCCCTTTCTTTGGAAGACTTTCAACTCAATGGCACACTTCCAAGTGAAGTTGGGCTGCTGACAAAGCTTGTAAGTCATCACCAATCTTGTTGTTGTAGTGGTGGCTTGCACTAATAAATTTGCCGCACACACATGCAGACCAGGCTGAGGTTGCATGAGAATGCTATTGTAGGCGCTTTACCAACGGAGTTTTTGAAGTTTTCTGGTGAGTAATGACCAGTTACAGAATTGGTGAGGGCCGATTTTGCTTCTAACATGCATCTGCCTGTTTCTGCGTCAGGGTTGAATATCTTGGACATTGGATCCAACCAGATGGAAGGCAAACTGGAACAAAGTCTGTTTTCCCAACTCACCCAGTTAGATGTGTTTAGTATCAATGGCAATTGGTTCTCAGGCAGCCTTCCCACAGAGGTTGGCCTTCTGTCAAGCCTCCGGAAGCTACAATTGCATAATACCAATCTCTCTGGCACACTGCCCACCGAGCTGCAATTGATGGACAAGCTGACCAGTTTGGTAGTCATGAACACATCTTTGTCGGGCAGTATCCCTTCCAAACTTAGCTCCGCAATACTCCCCCCACAAGAACTCAAGTGCTTTGGCGGAGAGTGCTATAAAGTAGCAACCACCTCCTTGTCAGCCTGTCATGGAACTCGTCTATGTGGTTGCAGTTGTGATCCGTGTCCAGTGTAAAGCTCTACAGTGCAATGCGGAAGAGGGATAGCTTTTAACTCTCCGCATATGAGTGTTAGATAAATCTCCATAATCAAAGACATATTGAACCTCTTCTGCAGTCGTAACGCACATATTTCGTCTCCTGGAGACGATTTGCTTTAGGGGTAATGGTACCGATGGGGGCAGAGGTTTGAATTATACCGGGCGCGCATTACTTAGAAGGCCCTGTAGAAGTCTACGTATTCGACTAGTATTGTATTGACGGGATACAGTCAACGCATGTACATGCACATGAAAGTCGCCTTGCGTTCTTCACATTTTAAAAGTTGGCTCCTAATTTTTCGGGGTCGCACATGTGATTTGATTGGACGCTATGATCTTTTTTCAATGACTGACATTGAATTGACGTACGAGTGCAATGTCGATTCTCAGAAAGGTAGTTGTATTAATAAAAGTTTTTATATATAGATTAATTTACCTATATCCCTACCTTTCATACTTATAACAAGAACCGCCTTCTCGCTGAAATTTATCGTATTGATATTTCCTAGGACAGAAAGCCATTAGTATCCTTAAATCATTGCAAGCAGTCCTTCATTGTTGTGGCAGGCAAAGTTCGTTTGGATCCCACCAGCTTCTAAATAAGAAACAAACCACTCATGTTGCACCCTTGAAACCACGTAAGCCCAATTGACAGTATCGCCAGTGAATTACCAATAACACATGAAGTAAAATCGTAATTAGTGCCAGTTGTCGCAGATTGCTGATAATCGGGAACGTCTTACCCTTCATCTTGGGTTTTACAACTTCTCCGTCATATAACCATCTGGTAGCTGAAATTGTATTCTTGCTCCGTTACATAAATAGTACGTTGGCATATATTAGTCCTTCCATTTCACGTGATTCACAACGTAGCATTGGTGACTTGACCTCGAGAAAAAAGCCCGAATCTTGCAGCCGTCGCGAGTTGAATAACCATGGAGGTGCAACCGATGCCTTCACATTCATCCTTCTCACAAAAAGCCGAGATTCATTGGCTTCTCCATCGACATTCGTGTTCTCTGTAAACATTACAGGACAGCCCAAATCAAAGACAGGCA